TCTTTATCATTCTCGTTTACTTTTCAATTACGTTGACAAACACAAAACATTCGTTCTATCGGGGAGCTCTACTCCCTGGTCCGAGAATCGGCCCCCTGCTTGGAAGCAATACCTGATAATACCCATAAAAAAACTTCGGAAAAACCCCGACCTTCCAGAAGGATATCGACCAATAATCCTGGCCTCTTGTAACCTTAAAGTCATGGAAATAATGATGAAGAATAGAATCGATTGGCAGATGGAAAACTAAAAAATATTTTCACCCTTTCAGACTGGATTTGGGAAAAAATCCAACGTACACAACAACCTGGCGTTTCTCGTTACCTATATCAACTTAGCATTTGTGCAAAATGAAGCTGTAGTGGCTTTGTTCCTGGATATATCAGCTTTCGATGCAGTGAGTCTGAATATCCACAGACTTTACTAAAAACTTATTAATTATAATGTTCCCATAGAAATTTGCAACACCATATTTAAAATACTAAATTAGCAGAAACATATTCATTAGAAATAGGTACTCAGAAATGCATAATTGGTCATTGATCCGGAACATGTATCTAGGGGTCTGCCTGAAGGTTCACCACAGCACCATTTTGTTTAACATTTATTTGAGGGATATCTCTGAGGTCTTGGACAAAGAAATAATCACAATGGCCTATGCAGATGACGTCGTCATTTTCGCAAAAGGAAAGGACATCCCCAACCTAATAAACAAAATAAATTTTGCCTCAGAAAAAATAAATAACTGGCTCACAAGCAATGAACTCCACCTCTCTCCAACAGAATGCGTCCCAATGCTATTCACTAAGGGCAAAAGGAAGGGCGTTTTCCCCCCATAATCATACAACAGCAACAAGTGGCCTTTTTAGAAACATTCAAATATTTGGGCATGATCCTCGATAGTCATCCCAATTGGAACAAACATATTGAATATATTATAAAGTTAAAATTTTACCATCTAGTTATCCTCAGATTTCGGATTCAACAATTGGCAATTCAACAATTATCTCTTCCGAATTTTCATCCTCGTACTCTCTGGCATACATTGAATTTACTCTATATGTTGGCTGTGCCCTGAAGTTTTTCTGTCGGTTCCGATCTTGTTCCGATCAGTCCGATCTGGTTCTGGTTTGTATTTATTGTCGTGACCCTTTTCCTGGTATTGTTTTGGATTGTATTATCTATAGTTCTGGTACCCCTATCTGTTTCTATTGTCGCGTTTGCGATAAACAGACTGAAATTTTCTATTATTCTCATTGTTCCGTCAGTCATGATACCTCTCATGGTCATAGGTCTCACTTGAGGATCTTCACTTTGTGCATAATGACGAATATCTTTTCTTTCTCTATCATCCCGGTTGTAATTTGCGTCCCGGTATCTATGGCTCTTTTGATAATTATTATTGCCTTGAGTGCAATTTCTGTTTTCTAGGTTGTCAAATTTATCCAACACTTCCAATATTTTCTCCGACGATCTAGGGTTGTAACTCCTTTTTTTAATGAATTAACTATAGGTCCATAATATGCTCAGTTAGCGAAAAAAATATATTAGTGTGGGTTGATAGTTTAATCAGTACAGAATGGCGAGGGCGCCACTGAATTTAAAAATAGTTATTTATGTATCAAGGGTACTAAGTAGATGATTATGCCCTGAGGGCGACATTCTTACAAAGCCGAGGGCCTCTGGCCCGAGGGTTCGTAAGTCGCCCGAGGGTATCAGTTGTTGTGAATAATAAATACCTGGGGAAAAAGTGTCACTTCGCAAATAGTCATCAGTGTGCAGAATCATCATTTTTTGACAAAAATAATATGTTTATAAGCGTAAATTTATATTTTGTTAATAAAGAATAAGTTAATTGAAAACTGTTTTTTGCGACTTTATGCCATAATGTGTATTTTATGCCCGCACGGGCATAAAGTAATGAATTATGTAGATGGTATCTAAGGTATAAAAACACAATAATGTATTGGTACGACATACATTTTTTTATAAAATTGCACAAAATATGGAAGTGTGAAAATTCAGAAACACACTTAGAAAATAATTAGCAAACGATAATTGGTAATCCTGAAAAAAAAAATAATGCACACAACTCAACTCTTGACCTATGGGTAAATCAATAAAACAATTAAGTGGTGTATATTTCACAGTCATTAAACAATGGGGTAGTATACAAGAGATTTTTAACTACTGCGTAATGATATACTTGATGCATCGTACTATCTAATGTAATCAGTTGCTTTGTAAAAACCGCAATACACTGGAATTTTGTTTTTTAAATTTCCTCTTAGCCCCGCCCCTACGTGAAAATAAAAGTTCGTGAAGTAGTTAGTTTTTCAATATGGCAACACATCACGGTTTTGAGAACGTACAAATTTGCACTAACATTGACCGTCAAGAACGAAACGTCAAATTTACTGCACCAAACAACGTAAACAAGTTACTGTGACAATGTCACATGTCACACGATTTACACGACACTACACGTCGTTGAACTGTTAGAGTCGAGGTTAGAGTCAGCTGTCGTTTAGAGGCATTTTGAGCAGCGTTGCCAGATGGTCATCGGCTCGAATACTATTGGTCGCCGTTGTGGCGCTAAATTCAAATTACAGTTTGTTTTTCTCTGAATAATTGTATAGACACTATGCTAAAAAATAATTTAGTATCCCACTATACCATCACCATTTAGCCGATAGAATAATGTTGAACAGTTTTTTTACTGATTTTCATACCTACACCCTATTCAGTGTTGGTCTATTCCAAAATGTAAGATCAACTATTATTGGTAAGACACCGTACACTTAATCAAAATAAAGAAGTTAACCTTTAATCGGATTATTTAAGCTCAAAAAATAAAAATAATAATAATAATAATAGTAAAAGTATAGTCATTGAGCATAACAACAAATATACTTGCCTCATAAATTCATTAACATTAGCTACCAATATCATCAATTTGAAAGGAAAATATAAAGATTAACATTTCGGAATTTTCATTTAATTCCATCCTCAGAAATAGCAAAAAATTTTGTTTCATTTTTCAACCTGACTGACTCCCAAGAAAACCTCCACTATTTCAAAAAAAACAGTCAAGAAACCGCATCAAAAAATAAAGATTAACGTTTCCAGAAAACCAATTAAAAAATTTGAATGATTAAAAAATTCTATTAATAAATACGGTCAATCTCTGCAAAAATAGATTTAAAAAAAACAAGTTGTACCTGTAAAAAAAACAAAGGTTGGGTTATAAGTCAAATGGTCGACTTGAAGGAAATCCATATATAAGTTATAAGAGCCCGGGTTAAAAATTGATCAATTTTCGACGGCAAGATATTATTTAAGAATTCAAATTCAGAACATGTTGTCCAACCTTGACCCTTATTCAGATTACTTATTGATAAAACATAAGGCAGTACCAGAAGTTATGCTAACATAATAAAATTAATAAACTATGAACCAATTTTTTTTCGCCATTGTGTCAAGAATAAATTTGTACATGAGTGTCATTTATAAAAAATTATCATAGCTTTGTTAGTAGATTGTAAAAATGATTTTATGAAAATAAAAAAAATGTAAGTTAAGAGTTATTATTGAAACTTATACAAGCCTCCATCCCAATATAAGGCATATCCGGAAACCATCCATTCTCGTCTTTCGATATCTGAACGCAAGGGACCACACATGGGAACTGGTAGATTCCAGCCCAGAATCCAGGCAGAAAAGGGATTATTGTAGTCGTCAAAGATGCAGCACACGTATTGACCTGTGGGGTCTTGATTCTAGTAGCGTAAGAAGCCCTTTAAAGGTTCAATGTCAAGCCCCACGGAAATGGTGTTGATTTGAACATGTGGCCTTTTTTGGAATGGACTTGTTGGGTAAAGTCGGCCGTTCGAAAGACCCTAAGTAATAATGCATTCCTTGAAAAGCCCAAGCATTTTCATTTTAGTAGCTATGGAACAGTGGTCCAAGTAATAACTGTCCTCCGTCGTGAAGGCATTTTATCAAAGCGGTAGGTATTCAGCTGCTCAACGCCGCTTCCTTTTCTTGGCCTGCCCGTTCACCCGACCTCGCTACATATGAGTTTTTGTTGTTATGTAGGGCTACCTAAAGAACTAAATTTTCGAAGAACGGCCTCATACTCTTGACGAACTGAAGGCGAGAATCCGTCAAATGAATAAGTTTTCTTGAATAAAATTTTTAAAAACGCAACCGTGTATTATTTATTTACAGTTACTTTAATAGTTCAAATTTGACTGGGACCATTCTTGCTGACCACTGTTCCATGGCTACTGAAATGCTTTGAAGGGAAGAACACAACGGTGAACTTGAGAACACGTCCCGCCCACTTTCTCCGCTCCCGCGCTTTTCCCAAAATTGCAGGTATTACTGCCGCACCCTGTATTAAAATGCAAGTAACTTTCTTAAGAATGCCACCAGATTTTTTAAATTATTTTTCTAGGGTTCCTTGAAGGGTCCTTCACCACGTATATAGAAACAGTTTTTACGCTATTTTCCGGACACCCTGTATAATTCGAGATCAGGCGAGACGAGACCAACCTTCAAGGGCCCCATACACTACGTTCTTTCTCGTCGGTTTTCATCGCCACGATGAAACACGTCGTGTGTGGTGTGTTTTTCTACCACACACTTCGGTTTTGGAACGACGTGTTTCATCGCGGCGATAAAAACCGACGAGAAAGAACGTAGTGTATGGGGCCCTTAGGTCTTTTCTCGTCTCGCGGCGCTATTACTCATTATATTGGGTGGTTCAAGTTCAATTCTGATCTAAAAAATGAGTGAGTTTTCGAACAAATGAATCACACATACTTTCACTCAATACATTGAACAGATTATTAATGAGTGAGTTGCTCTTCTCGAAGAAACAACTCAAACATCATATTTCCATATTTCCATTCCAGCTAGGAAACTATGAAACACCTGTCCCACCTTATGTTCTGTGCACCTTATAAATAGATTGACATTGATTATTTGTCGTTAAAATGCTCTACGGTTATCCAGTAGACCGAAATGCCGGCGAAGCCGTCGAAGAATTACCAGACAAAGAAACCGAATTCGTTTCTGCCAAAACCTTTCTGCAAACCGCCAGCACGGAAACGGGGGCGAACCTGTACGACCACCTCGCCGAGCTGCTGGACAAAATCCTAGCCGAAAGACCACAAAATGTGATCGACCTCTTTGAAGACTACAGTCGCAAAGTCAAAGAGCAACGCTTCAAGCCTTCCACTGATCATTTGGAAGACATCTACGTCTCGCCTGGAGCCTACGAGTTGGCAGATAGAATGTTGCGCGCCCTAAGACCTTTGCCCAACAAACCACCATCAACCTTAGATCCAGATGATTTGGAAACGTCCGACATGTCCAAAAACAACTTGTTAGAAATGCTGTTTTATTTGGAACAAGCAGGCTTGGGCCTACCAAGACATGAAATGGCTTATGTGATGCTTTCAATGCGCAGACTAGCAAACACCCAACCCATTGCCTCAATTAAGTTTTGGGGTAAAATCCTAGGCCAACATAACAACTATTTGGTTGTTGAAACTGAACTCACTGAAGAGGAATACACCAAACGGAACTCTGTAGAGGTAGACGAAACTGTTGTAATAGTAGAAGACTTTGAAGAAGCTCAAGAAGTACGCGGAGAAGATGACAAAAGGCCTGTATTGCCTCCTTTACCCCAAAGCCAATATGAGGAGCCCAAAGAGCCTGCCATAGAGCTGTCTGGGGTGGGCCTGAACAAGAAAACTTATTTTGTTTGCACGGGCGTTGGGGCTGATTGGGTAGAGCTACCTGATGTAATACCAAAACAGATACGCGTAGCTCGACAAATCTACAAATCCTTCTCTGGCGATTTGGACAAGGGCATCTACACTTATCCAGAATTCCCCGGCACAGAAAGGAACTACTTGCGAGCTCAAATTGCTAGGATTTCGGCTGGCACTCGAGTTGCACCCTTAGGGTATTATACTTTTGGGAGTGAAGAGTTAGGAGAAGGTGCCGAAGAAGAAGAGGTAAAAGTTACAATTTGATTCTTCCATCATCTAGGAATTTGATTTTCAGCTTGAAGAAGAGGAACCAGGAGGTGTCAACAAAACCACCTACAAAATTAATCCGCGATATGATCCTCCTGCTCTTAAAGACCTGCTGGACTCTTCAATGAGCTTTTGGGTGCACACCGAGCCTTATATTCTACCTCAAGGTAGAACTTCTTGGTGGAATCCTGGACCAGAAGAAGATGAAGCGGCAGAGGACGAGCAACTAGGCGAAGAAGAGGAAGAGGAGGATAAAAAACCAGTCAAATACGAAGCAGAAACTGGTCCGGCATTGCTTACTCCATTGTCGGAAGACGCCTCGCTTGAAACCACAAACGCCTGGAGTCCAAGAACCACCTCGGATGTCTTCGACATGTACCCGCTAGCAATGATCCGCTCCAATTTGTGGCCGGGCGGCTACGCCCTTTGCACCTTAACGAAAACCTTCTACAACATTTACGTGGGCGTTGGCCTCAAGTACATGCAGAGCAACTTTTCGCCGCACCCTTTGCCAGGGCCGATGCAAGAGTACCTGCTGGGACCGGAGATTTTAGAAGTGCCCGATCCCAGCGGCAAGGACGAACAGGATTGGAAGGAGGCGCACGCGCCCAAACCTGAAGAGGTACCAGTGGGCGAGGAGGAAGTCGAAGGAGAGCAGGAGGAAGTCGACGAGGAAGAGGAGGAAGAAGATGATTGATTTGTATTATTAGATTATTGAATTAATAAAGTGTTTTGCAGCCGTCTACTCATTGCTTTAATCTTTAATGATGTTTGAGTCGCATAAAAAAAAAGTGTTAATGAATAGTGGGATCAAACTGCTAGAATAAATAGTACTCATTAAAATAGAAAAAAAGGTAATAGAAATATGGGTCCGCCAATGCTTAGTTTTCGAGATACCAGGGTGTCAAATTTTGGAAAAAAAATCAGTTTTTTGCTCAAAAATCACTTTTCCGCATACCAATATACGAACCCAGCTTTATTTTATCTTTTTCCTTCAAGAAAATCCTTTTTCTCCTGAAAACCCTTATTCTTACTTCTAAATTCAAATAAGCTAACACCTTGTTATCAGACCAGAAAGACAAGGACAGCCGAATCAAAAAGGATTTTTGTTGCTCCGCTACACAGGTTACCTATATTTTATAGGTTGTTTAATGTGAGTTTGAAATTTTTACGGCTAAGAAAAAAACATCTTGCAGCCTATAGCTTGTTCATTTTTCAATTGACTTAAATGAGTCTCATAAAATAAAAACCCGCCTTTAAGTTTAACATTATTAATTTCACAAATGACCGTCATAATTTCCACACACAACACGATTTTTACCATACACGGTGTCCAATTTATTAACCTCCCGGCTGCAAAATAATAACAGCCATAACTTTAAGCATATAACCCTTCAAACCGTCATCCCAACATCCTCTCATCAATCTTGGTATTTAAAACTCGTCTTGTTCTCGTTGAAAGCCGACAAATAGATTTTTTTTCCAGTTGAAATGCCTCAATTTTTATAATGTTAATCATATGCGAATAGGAAACTCCCGGGGACTGCACTTGCAACAAGGTGCAAATAATATCGCATGATTTAAAATCGTTTGGCATTCGAAATTCTTTACATGACACTTTGTGGTGTTTACTATCGATAATATGAAATTTATTGAGGTGTAATTGATTGGGAATATTTCTCTGTGTGTGTGTTCAACGTTAATTAAAACTAAGGAATTTTATATTAAAAATAATCATGCATTTGATTTTTTTTAATGTCTTTACTTAACCCGTTTACATTGGCCTTATTTACGGACAATTTTTGTTGGAGTTTAGCTGCTAGAGGCTCTAAAAAAATATAATCCCTTGTGCAATTTGTACTGAACTGCTGAGTAATGCCGAACTCTTTGACTCCTAAGATTACAACATGTTTTAAATCTACGTACATATCTTCAATCAGCATATTATCGAGCAAGTCAGATAAATTGAAACTAGACAGCAGCAAAAAAATTATAATAATCAATATTGCTAATGACTGTTATTTTTTTTAAAACCCAGTATCAAATACTTTCAATACTTGTTTATTAGAATATGGATATTGTTGTTATTCATTCACATAATAAAAAGCATTCTGTGTCAGAAACTCCTCTACTCTTTTTGTTGTTTCTACCTTCTACCTCATGTTGTGTTAAAATTTCGCAAAGTGTTACTTTTAATAAATTCTTTGAGAAATCCATGATCTTTATGTCGAGTCGGAGACAAACTTGCTGCCTGAGTAAAAAGTATCCGAACTGAATCAAAAGGTTTGAATGCTCTGTGTGTTCGAATGTGCGATTCTGTGCGTTTGCAGATCTACTCGATGAACATGAGCAATGTCTGCCTTCTGCCTGTCGAGTAGTTCTTGTATGTATAGCTCTGGATGGGATCATTTCTGTAGCAGCCTGTGGTACACTTACCTGATATCAACTGCCGGGCCCTGCGCCGAGGGCTGTTTTCCCGACCCTCGAGCAGCGTTGCCGGCTCAAGTACTCTATGCCACATCCTCACCAAGTGGATGTCTTTTTAACTTAGCACTCGAGTCGAATTCAACGCGTCTAGTCCTAAACCATTGTTTGTTTGTCCTATTTACACTAGGTATATTGATGATATAGATAAAACTACAGACTAATTCACTATATACACTGTACAATGTTCATTCTCCCTTTTGTTTTAACTAATCTTCACCACACATTCCATTGCAGGTGCAACGACGTGCCGGCTTGACTAAAGTCTTCCTGATCTGGTGGTCTATCTCTGGTGAGTGGAGTTATAGACTTCAGTTCGTATCATCCCCTCCATCGTCATCCTCTGATTCTGAGCTTGATCCATCATTACAACTTTCGGGGAGTTTCCCAATTGGACATCTCTAGTCGAGTATCTGTCCCTTGCTCTAGTCATATCGCTTCTGAGGTTACTTCTATAACTTAGCTTCTATTTCGGCTGATGACGTTATTTTCTGCGACGATAATGTATGCTCTAGGTTCAGGTCCAACATCCATTACTTTCCCAAAACATTTTCATATCGGGTATCTAAACTTTATCGTTATTTTTCAAGGTAGAATTTGATCTTGCTTTATGTCGCTTATTAAAATTCAATGTTTGAACTTCTTCGTTGCTTTTGACTTTCTTGAAGTCGTTTATGTAGTTCCACTTAGGGATAAATCTGTCTTTGTTAGCTGGAATTGAATTCGATTGCTTCCTTCCCATGATCAGTTCTGCTGGTGAAAATCCACTCTCTAGTTTTGCTGTTCTTATAACTTAACAGTCCTAAATTTCGGTATTTGCATTTAAGAACTATATTCTTGGCTATTTTTACAGCGGATTCTGCCAGCCCATTTGTATGAGGATACCTACGACTGCTTGTGATGTGACTGAATCCATATAAACAAGGCCCATTATCTGATCTAATGGTCCCTGGTATTCCTCATCTTCAACATGGGTTTCAATTTCGTCATGAGATCTACAGCAGTTTCTGAATTTAAGTTGGCAACCTCTATAAATCTTGAGAAATAATCGACTGCCACCAGATAATGTTTGTTGTTGACCACGAATAAATCAACTCCGACGATCTGCCAGGGGTAATCTGGCACAGGGGAAGGAATCATTGGTTCAATTGTTGTATTCCTGTATTGAATGCATGTTAAGCAATTGGTTACAATTTCTTTTATTTGTTTTGAGATTTTGGGTCACCACACCGTTTCATTGGCTAGGCTTAAACATTTCGTCATGCCCAAATGACCCTCGTGTATTTTGTCCAATATTTTCTTGCGTAATGTCGTCGGGATGGATGAATACTCTGTTGTTGCCGGTTACTAAACTATCCAATATAACCATCTCTTCTTGATATTGGTAGAAAATTTTATGTTCTGTTAGTAAATCCTTAATGTGTGGCCAACCATTTTGTGTATAAGTTATTATCTTTTGGTTTGGACATCATCCGTCTGACATTCCAAGATACTTTTTATGCGCATTGCGCATGTTCTTGATAGGCATTGATTCACGAATATGATTTGCAAAATTTTCCACTTTTTCTATGTGTTCGTTGACAAATAAAATATCTGCTCCATGATCACTGGATTTTATTGGAGCTCTGGATAATACCTCAGGCATTATCATGTTTCTGCCAGGAATATACTTTACGTCAGTCAGGAGCATAGATGTAGTAGTAGGTATTGGGCGAATTTTTCGCAGGCCCAAGTCAAAGACATTATTTCTCGCTCTATCTGCGCATATCGTTTCTCAGTATCGGAGATTATCCTGGATGCATAGTGGATAGGTTTCCATCTTTATCCATTTGTTCCAAGACTGCTCCCGAACCATATGAACTGGCGTCCGCTATGACTCTTGTTGGACGTCCTGGAGTAAGATGTGCTAAAATTGGAGCTGTCGTAAGAGCTTCGTACAAATCACATTATTTTTTTGTGGAACATGAGCAAATGAGAGCGATGAATCAGAGTTCAGGAAACTATCGCTGTCATTTTTTTAGAATATATTTGCACATACATAGTTACAAACCATTTGTACTGGACTGTCCTATATTTTCAAGAAGTATTTAGATATAAAGCCCTTGATCCAACAAAAACAAACCTATATACCAAAATCGTCTATTCAGAAATAAAAAGGCTATAGGAATAAACTTGGATCGATCACGTACTCCTTTAGGAAGTACTAACAAAAAACAAGGTATGTATCTTTGAACAGACCGCTGACAAATTGAAAGTTCAGTTATCCAATACAAATACAAAGTCCCTATTACTCTGAGCAAATTAATATCAGACCATTAAAAGAAGATAATATTTGTTATATGATTATAGTACTTACACACACTAATTCACCATATTGTATATTGAATCTCCTAGTAAAACAAAACACACCGGATTTTTTTTGTTAATATCGCAATGTTGATTAAAAAAAAGTCCAATTTCACTTATTGGCAGGATTGACCTCAAATATTTAAGCAGTATTGAAATTGGCTTAGGCACAGTTTATTTCAGAATTTCTAATCTAAACCAATCTACAATAAAGCTTGATTAGCTAGGTGAAGTAAACGGAGTCATTATCCCAATCATGCTCTTCCGAATTATAGAAAGATAGTGCACGGAATATACTCTGTCCATCATCAATTCCAAAACAAATGAAATGGTGCTATTCACAAGAAAGAGGAAACTGTTACTTCCGCCAGCAACCAGACTTATAAATACCGACCTAAGATTTGCTGCTGAGGTCAAATATTTGGGAGTGACACGTGACACTCGATTGCATACTAACTTGGAAATCTCATGTCACTAAGAGAATACAGGAAGCATAATATATCGTCTAGTGAACAGAGTAGACGTCTCATCATCGGAAAGACCTGGGTAGTTATGTGGATCTATACAGCTATCATCAGGTCTATGCTTACCTATGAGGCTATTGTCTGGGGTTTTAGTTAAAGCCGAGCAGACCACTATTAATCGTAAACTAGGCCACGTTCAAAGACTGACATGCCTTAACATAACTTGTGATAGTGCAATGAAAACTACACCAACTAGGGCTTTTGAAGTAATTCTATGTTTGACGCCCCTAGACATTTATGTCAAGGAGGTCGCTTTAACCACAATGATGCGCTTCCGCACTTTTGGTATGGAACCAAGTGCAGAAGTCGGTTTGCAAGAGCCTGCATATGGCGCGAGGCAACGAACTCGCTTCCAATGTTGGAAGGCAGTGGATTCTGCAACGCCAAAGGACCAGTCACGGATCTTATGAGAAAAAATAAATTCCACGATTGTCATGAAATTGAAATATGTTATGCTTCTCGACCTCCTGAACGTAAGTTCTCGTAGGCCCAAAAAGATCCTATGATTAGTTTCGGAGATAC